GTGGGCTGAGGAAAGGATGTTTAACAGAGTCCCCGTCTCAGTGCTTTACCAGGTCGTGGGTGGGAGCACCGGAACTTTCTCCAGCCTGCTCGCTTCTGAGCTTGCAGAGTAAACACAAACAGACTGGATCCGTGGATGAATTGACACTATTACCTCTTTCCTCTCAAGCGTCCGTTTGTGCTAAAGTTCTTGGATCTTGCCTTTCTCAACAATAAAACTAGGATAGATTAATGTAGGTCAAAGTGTCCAATCAGATCGCTAGCTAAGCCATAACATATGAAGAAAAGCAATTAAAGTACATGATGTAAATATGGTGAGGTCAGAAAACATGATGACATAAGAAAAAAGGAGCTGTTTTGGCTGGATTAGTCCAAGGCCCAAGGGAGACAGCAGGTGCATATGCCGTTCCGTATTTATTCCTTTGCAACTGGCTGCTTCTGCCAACTGGCCCCCCGGTCGAGGCCTGTGTGGTTCCATACCTGGGATCAGGCCCGTTGCTGCACGCTTTGCTCTCTTTCCATCTGCAGCTGATCCCAATATAATAACTATTCAGTTTGCCCCCATTTTTGGCTTCCTGGCTTTCACGGTGGCTGCAATGCCTGTCCACACTAGCCATGCTGGGAGCCCAAGGAAAGCAGTCTTCGTGGCGGAAACGAATAAACATTCACACCTGCCCTACACTGAGTCACCCCAGCGGTCCGTCTAGCCCAATACTGGGGAGGACCACAGTCCCATAAACAAAAATGAACTGAAAGCCAGGGTTGCAGGAGACCTCTCTGCCTGAGGCGCTGGGGAGCTGTCGCCACCAGCCCACCACATCCCAGCTCCCATCATCCCCAGCCAGAAGAGCTGTAGTCCAACACTACTTCCCTAGAATGCTGAATGGCCAAGTTCATAGGTACTTAGGAGCCTGTTTAAGGAGCGGTGCCCAGGATCGGGCGCCGAGCTGCCAGTCCAGAGCAGGGAACGGTGGAGAGCAGCCAGGTAGGGGCAGGAAGGAAGACTGAGATGGAATCCCACAGTTAAATTTATATCGAATGAAAGGTGCTTGAAATCTGCCTTTGATCCAGACACCTTTCCAGGCACATGGGAGTTGCTTCCTGTGGCTCTGCAGTGAAGGAAAAGCACTCTGTGCATGGGTAAAAGCACTTACTTCATTGGTGGTTTTGCCAACTCTTTTCTGGCAGGACTCCTGGGTCTTTAAGGGTACATGGTCAACAAAAATTTGGCAGCTGGATTCCCCCAATCACTGAATCTGTAAGCTAGGAATGACTTCATCTGTTAAATCCCTAAGTATCCTGCCACAGTTGGCAACCTTACAGCCTCCTCTGTATGATTTGCAGAATTGACCGTAATTTTAAGTGTTAGGCAAAAAAGGGGAGAATCTGCCAGGCATGACCTTTGCAATGCCCCATGATGGGAAAAATACTTGAGGAACTGGGGCCTAGAGCCACAACTGGGCCCCCTTCCACCCAAGAAAATGCGATTTCAGAGCAGGCATCCCAAACCTGGCTATGCCAAGGTTCACGCATATCTGTGGTGGCAAAACGATTCAGCCTGTGCAATCTGGGATAATGCTTGCCTAGAGCTTTGAGCTGCAGTCCTGCAAGTGGCACCCACTTCAACTGACTTCACTCACTTCTGAGCAGCCCGGCGTAGGGTTTTGCCGAGCTGAGAGCACTGGATAGATACTTTGGTGACTGCAGTCCGTATTCCACTGTCACAGAGTAGACCCACCTTACTCTCTTCGTGCTGCTGGCAGAGGCGAATGGGTGTTGGGCCAGCTACAGGAGATATGCCAGGGGCGAGATTTGTGCTGGAGGCTTCCACCTTGTTTCTGGAAGGACAGCTCCAGAAACTGACCCCAAGGGGCTCATGATCAAGTAGGCCCTCCCCCAGTGAGCCTGCCTTCACACAGCCATTGCTGCTGCTCCGTCCGGCACCTCCTCTTCCTCGCCGTTAGCTGCCCCTGGCTTGCTGACTGGCAGACAACCGGGGAACAAGGTGGCGGCAGCCTCTTTCTCTCCCTGTTCTGCGCTGCTGTTACCTGGAGCAGAGTGAGAGGTGGGTGAAGGGGAGTCCAAGAAGGCCTGTCAGGGGCCCCTTGTCACCTGGTGGGCCCTCGGCAGGTGCCTGACCATGTCAGCCCCTGGCGCTGTTCTTTCCAAGCACTACCAATCCAGTCTGCCATCTGCTTCTGAATGGATTCTTTTCCAGAAAAGAAAAGAGAGGGAAGAATCTGTGGGGCAATAGAAGGAATACAGAAATGTCTGGAAAATTCCAGGGACGAGGCAGGGCGATCGAACAGTGCAGGCCGCATCTGCAGACACGCTTTGCGGGGATCCTGCCTGCTCCCCAGAGTGAGGGGAGCCTGGTGCTCAGTCTCTTGCCTCCATGAATGGATGAGTTGACCCTGAGCAGATATACAGCTGTGCAGAACAGCTGGGGCAGCCAGCTCTTCATTGTCTGCAGTGCCAGGCTCCGCATGTCTACTCAGAGGTCCACCCCATCTGAGTTCAGGAGGACTTATTTCCAGATCGATGCAGTGTGAAGGTTCTTGATGCAGGACAACAAGAGAGCTTCAGCTTCACCCCGTCCACAAGCCCTTTTGAAGTCAGATGTGTGCACCCAAGTTGGTCCTGTATTAAAATTTCAGAACAGGCAATAGGAAGGGGAAACTAAACCTTGGGCTGCGAAAATAGCTGTAAACAAATTGGCAGAATGAAGTCATGTTCAAAGTTTGTTCTAAATAATAGTATCAGCCAGGGGTTGCCAGCTCTCCAGAAAAGGCCCGTTCCTTTTTAATGTCAGCTTAATATGTGGAATTTAGCAGACAAAGTTTCCATAGCACAGAATGTGCAAGATGCAGTTGCAGTTAAGGGACCCAGCGGCTCACTCTGGTAAAAACAATTGACCACCCTTTTTATAATAGCCAGCTCCAGTGAAAATCCAACAAAGAGTCTGCGGTTTTACATCCACCCCGTAACAAAAGTAGCCTATTTCTTATACCCATGAATTGGCGAATAGTTTCAGTCCTAGTGGGAGGAGGAGGAGGGAAAGCCCAAACTGCAGCTTTGAAATCCAGACGGATTCCCCAGCTCCTGGGCAAGGGAAAATATGCAGTTTGCTCAGGACCGCTTTTCCATGAAAACACCTTGACTCACCCCCTCCTTCACCCCTCCCTCCTGCAACAGCATCACTATTTCCGAATACCAGCGGGTTCTTTTTTCCTTACTCCTTACTTCATTGCAAAGGCGCCGGGATGACTCTGTCGCGAGGCACGAATCCCTTTACACAACCCATCCCGCCTTCTCCATCCTTCCTGCCAACCAGCCGTATGCTCAGAACTCCTGCCAGGTGTCTTGCAGGGGCACCTTTCGGCCCTTCCTTGTTCCCCTCCCTCTACATCCCAGCCAGGGTGGTTCACAGAAAGGTGCAGGGCAGTTCCATTCTGCCCATCCCTACCAGGAAGGCATAAAACCTGCACTGGGTTTCATTTTAAAATGTCTTTCTGTTCTGCACAAATAACTTTTGCACCAATGGAAAGAGAGGCGTTTGGAGACAGGATGACCCCATGTGGCAGATTCTTGGGGTGCCATTCCAAGGTAGTAAATGCTTCCAGGTAATCCCTGCTCAGAAAGTGGCTACATTTGGGTGCTCATTTGGAAAGTCCAGGCATTGAAATTCTGCCTCTTTCACCCACTACCAGGGCCAGCCACAATCTCCCAGCCTCAGTGTTCCACATCTGTAAAATGGAAATAATAAAATGCCACAGCATCCCAGGTTTTCATCGGAGGCTGAATAAATGCAATCAAGAGTACCAAGAAGTTTGTACCAGGGGCTACCTTTGTTCTTAGCTGCTGGGATCAGACCGTCCAAAGCCCTAGAAAGAAACAGTTAAAACACAGAGAGACAAATATTATTAAAGAATTACATCCAATACTTCCTGCCTCTCAGAGGAAAAAAAGCAAGGCCCTTTGAAGAAAGAGTGGGTGGTGGGATTTCGGAAGAAAGTATGTGTGCAGAATGAGGTTTTATCCCCAGCTAATGAGGCTGTCCATTTGGCGCCCTGCCCCGTGTGAATGCAAATGCCGCAGGGAAGGGGAGCCAGCTGCACTTGACAAAGCCAGGATGGGGGATACTGCTTGAACCCATGGCCTCAGGGGCCTGGAACTACCAGAATTGCAGTCTATGCATGCCACAGAGTGAGATAGCAGGGGTGAACTGCACTGCCTCCAGGGAGGAGAGCATTTTTAAATACTCCCTCCACTTTTCCAAAATGTGTCAGGAGCAGGCAGAGCTTTCTTGGGCCCTCTGGCCCACCGGACAGTTTGCAAATGTGACCCAGGCACCGGGACGAGCTGCTGCCCAGGATGAAAAGTGAAGATTCCTTGCTCCAGATTCTCTGCTCTCTTGCCCCAGCCGCTCCACTGTTCTTTGGCAGGGGCCTTTTGTTCCCATCTGTGTTAAAGTCCATATATGTTAAAACAAAAATCGAAACGCAGCATGTGAGGAGAAAGGCTGCTCCTGCTTAACCTTTTCCTCCCTGCGGGGACTTGCACCTTGCTTGCCTTCCCCCTCCAGGCCTGCCATCGCCTTCCCCTACCTAAGCATGTCTTATCATTTGCTGGTTTTCTTGTTAATGTTTATATACTGCCTCATTTGTTTAAAAGCTCTCAAGATGGTGAGAGGCAATTAAGAAAGGGAGACCTTAACACCTGGCTTTCTGCCCCTTCTCATCTGTACTGTCTTTCTTCTAGTTAATCTCCGAGACGGTTGTGCTGCAAGGGGAAATGCCTTCTCTCTTTGGGATCAAAACAGCAGCTTTGCTGTTTGGAGCTCACATCCCACCGCTGCCGTGTCCTTAGCTTCTTGGCTAAGTTTATTTCTTACGCTCTCCCCAGCATACCTTCTGGTGTTTGTGACCAGCCATGCCCACCATGGTAGCCGTTTTCTGAATGGGCAAGCCATTTTGTGAAAGCACCCGCAACACTCGCGAAATGCCAAGTGTGCCCTCGGTGGCAGAAAGCTTGGGAACTGCCACCCTTACACGGCTTTAAAAATAATAATGTTGCTCTTGCTTCCTTTGCAGATTGTTTGTGTCAAGTCTTGATGGTGCTCTTGAGTCTGCGTGAGGGACTTCATGCTGCACCTGGGCCCCGGCCAAGGCCTAGCGACCACCGAGCTGAGTTCGATTCCATCGTCAACCTGGCAAGGAGCCTGCTGAGCGACACCAAGAACCTCGTCAGCCACTTTGTGAGTCCAGCACCCTCCTTGGTGGGCGGCTTCCTTGTTAGCAAGCCAGGTTCACTTAGTGCCGGCGTTGTCTCCCACACTAACTGGCAAAAAACCCAGCGGGTGCCCTGCCCCTTGGCCATTTGGCTTGCCAACAATGAGAGCTTTGGGTGGCTTGTGGGCAATGACATGGCATCACCTTTGCCTTCTGACTTAAGTAACAGAGGGGCTCCATTTTAAAAGATAATTAGGGCTGGAACCTTTGTAGAAAGGCGCAAACTCACTTGCAAAAAGGAAGAAGAAAAGAATCCCACTTAAAATCGGAAGGGAGAGAATAATAGAATATTTCATATTATTGTTTATTCCTCAAGCGGGGGGCGGGGTGTGTGTCTGCTTCTCCTATTCTTAACTTAGAATCAGGTAGTTGAATTTGCAGCTTAATTGCATTGTATGTGCTGCCATGATCCATTTTCCTTCCCGGCACAGAAAAACCGGTACCCAGCCGAAGGCGAACACAAGCTGGAATCACTGCCTGTTTTGTCCATGAATGCTGTGGAGCTCTCCAACATCCAGGTAAAAGGGACTTTCCCTGCTCTTACTGGTGTTCCCTCCAGGTTGCCCTTTGCACAGCACCAGATTCCCATAATAAGCAGCATTGCTCATTTTCTTCCCGTCTAGAACGTAATAGGGGTCTAAGAGATTACTGACTTCCTGGGGCTACGGCAAGTGCTTGTAGGAGCTCCTGATGGTGATTGTAGAGTTCTGACAGTAGCTGCACTTTCCCCTTTCCTTACTGGGTGTGACTTTCCACCCACTTCTTTTTTTAAATGGCTCTGCTTTCCCCATACTTGACAGCCTAAGGCGACATTCATTTTCCCCACACAATCATTTCCAGTGGGGTAGCTGTGTTCATCTATGCAGCAAAAACAACAAAGAGTTTTGTGGTGGCACCTTGAAAGGAATGAATTTATTCTAGCACAAGCATTTGGGGACCCTCAGTCACTTCCTCAGAGGAATGGAGCCTTAATGAGAGTTTCAGGTATAGCTACAGTACGTTGTGGGGTGGGAATTATGGACAGGACTGTGATGTCCACTGTCTGCGTTTAATTTCCTTCTGTCTTCCATGATCCACACACCACATGCCCCCAACATTTGGAATGTATTTATGCCCGCAACTCTCATGAGCATTTCATGTCTCCAGTCAAGCAGGCCGTGGCCCACAAAGCTTGTGCCAGAAGAAGTCTTTTCACCTCTTCATTATGTTCCCCGTGGTGTCTTTGCTTCTCTTGGGTGACTTCACTTCTATTGAACTGCCTCTCAGTTCCCCACAGTGGCTGTAGCTGCCCCCAGTCCCCCCTGGTGTGCCCAGTTTTCCTATGGGGAGAAAGCACTACCAGCATATCTCTTCTGGCAGGCCAGGCAGCCTGCTCGGTTCTTCTCTGTAATCCCCCTCTCTGTATATATTTTTCCCCTCTCCTTAAGGTCTCGGGGGGTCTGGCCCGCCTCAGCTCTGACTTGCAGTGCTATCAACGCCACTTTGAATGGCTGCGGAAAGCAGCTTCACTGCTCAAGCCCATGGAACACGACATCAGCACAGTGCATAACCGGCTGGACCGCCTTCTCAAAAGACTGGAGCACCTGGTAAGGCTTGGAGAGACAGCTGTGGGACCAAAACGGTACCGCATGTACAGGGTTGGATTCTATGGCCTGCCACCAAGGTGGGCAAAAAGAGGATCTCCAGGTGTTTGGGACTTCGGCTCCCAGCATTCCTGGGATGCTGGCAGGGGCTTGTGGGAGTTGAAGTCCCAAACATCTGGAGCACTGCCTTCTGCCCACCCCTTCCAACTCTGTGTTTCCATCATCAGAAACAGATTAATAGGATAAGAGCAGGGCTAAATTGGGACCCCGGTTCTTTCTCCAAAAGATCAAACTCATCCCGTGTTCCTTTCTCCCTAGATGACCAAGCTCAGCCTCTCCCGGCCGAACGACCCACTGCCAACCCTCCCAGCTCATGGCACCCACTGGTCTGTGGTTCAAGCAGGACATGCCATCGTCCACTCGTTTCACCTTTACTTGGACTGGGCTGCCCGTGTGCTAGTTCTGATTCGGAACAAGCTGTGACCGGCAGAGAAACAGAACTACTGTGGGTATTTTGGAAAGCTTCTACACGGACTCGGAACTCTTGAATGTGTAAGGAAATCTACAGAACAAGTGCTGCTGGATTCCTTCTTGGGGGTGCTGCGGGGTGGGAGAGGTCCACCTTTTGGCCCACCTGCGCCCTTCCTGCACTGGGCGAACGAGAGGTGGCTTCTCTCATTCTCAGAAAGATCACCTCCTCTCCTCACTCCCCCTACAGCCTTGGGAAGAAGCTGGGGACAGGCTGTTTCTTCCTCTTCCAAAGACATGCCTGCCCTTCTGCTGGATCTGTGTCACCTGTCAGGGGACTCTAGCCATGTGTGGCTTGTTGAAGTTCTGCCTTGTAAAAATCAGTAATGGTGGATTGTCTGCACCAGAGTCCCTTCCTCTGCATTCCTGGTCTCACCCTGCAATATGCACATTCCGGGAGAGTTGGGGAGCTTTGGTCTGGGATGACCCCCAACTAGCTGAGTAGTTTCTTGAGGACATGCTGTGGAATTCCCCAGTGGGTTCGGGGTTCCATACCATATGGGCTGATGTGAAAACCGATTTCCTTGAAGAGAGTACAGGAGTGGGCAGATTGCAGACTTGTGGGATTTTGTTGGTTGGTTGGTTGCTGAGAGTCCAGCACAACCCAAAACTGTGGACACAATCCAATGCAGAATTCATGGTCTCCCACCTGCTTCAAATAGCGTATGCTGGATTAGAGCCCATGTGTGTGCATAGCATTTTGATCCCCCAAAAGGAGTCTCTTTCCCCCTCCATTAATCGGGAGGCATGGGATTACATTTTTAAAATAAAGTTTAGTATTTGGAAGATAAGATAGACATGAAAACTACATGCAATGGCATCCCCCATCTTTTCCTGAACACACAGGAGGAAATTATCTCTTTTGACTCGGTGCCTGATGTGATAACCACAAGCAGCCTCCCAGACTTACATAAGTACAGATCCTATCATCATCCCTGGGGATGATTGGAATTATAGTCCAAAACACAAAGGTGCCTGCCAGGAAAGACTGCCTCATCTGAAAGTGAAGCATGTGCTTCTCCATTAAAAATATTCTGTTCTTCATATGCACATTTATACAGATTTCAGCAAGCAATTGGCCAGGTACCCAATCAACTTTTAAAGAGCTTTCAGAAATTTGGGGCACCATCTACTAGACTGTAGAAGTTCATTTTAAATACTTTTCTCTCCTTTTGTTTTAATAACATGCAACCCACACAAATTAAGATATTGTTAAAAACATTCAGAAAGCGACTCTTAAACATAGGGATTGTAAAGCAATTGTCCTGCTCCTGAATCATTAACATTCAAGAGTAAGCTCTCTTTTCCTTCACCAGCAGCATCCCCTGCTGGACCTCTTTGGTTTTGTCAAATTAGCCCACGTGAGGTTGTTTTACAATTTGCTGCAGGATACAGAAAGGAGCAAGTAATGTGATTTCACGTGCAAAAGAATTCCAGATCAATAGAAAATATTGACCCAAATGCTCAGAGGTTTATTCTGGTTTGCTGAATTTTGGTAATTCATTCCATACAAGGCTCAAATTAAAAACAGAACCAAAACCTTCCACACTAGGTATCTGTGTCTGCCTGAAAAAATAATGACCTTATTTAATTCTTGTCAGAGTTCACCCAATATTTAATACTCTTTAATGTGGGGGTGGGCATCTGTGATCATCCAGATGTTGTTGGAATCCATCAGTCAACCTGGATGATGGGAGTTGTAGGCCAACATCTGGACTATCACTGATTCCCCACCCCCATGTTAATGCCTGTAGTTAACTCTCCTAATCCATTTCAGATATTTTCATGCACCCCACTTCCTCGCAGAAACCTTTAGGTTTCTTCATTGTAAGTTATTTTAATTTAACTGTCATAATTATAATAATTATTGTTATTTTGTGTATTATTATTTGAATGTTATTTTATATTGAGCATCTTTTCAGTATTTATTGACCAGCTTCACTTTTTGTACTCACTTCTGCTTGTTTGTATGACAAATAAATATTGGGGGAGATCAAAATGAAATTAAAAAAATAAAAAGACACAAATGGAAGAGCCATGTCTTTATGTGGAAGGAGAATCGTGTCATTAAATATAACTGAAAAATAAATTTTAAAATATTATTCCATTAAATGGCCAAGCAGCAGCCATTTCTTTCCACTCTGAGGCTGCAAGGCACTGATAGGGTAGGTGGGTATATGCATATAAGTCTCAAATTGGAGTATCCAGCTAGAATGCTCTGGTTCAGGGGTACTGAACGTCTTTCAGCCTGAGGGCCAAATTTCTTTCTGGAGAAACTCTTGGGGAGGAACACCTACTGGTGAGCAGGTCCAAAATACCAGCATCATGGTGCCTAAAGCTCTTGCAGCCAATAACTGGGTCTTAGGAGAGGTCTTTCAACTTTTTAGAATGGGGAGAAAATGGCAGAAAATGATGGCGACCTCCAATGATTGGAGGTTGGAAGAAAATAGGTGGGATCTTCTAGAGAAACCCACAGAGCAGGATTTGGGTCCCAGCCCCGAAGTCCTGTGGCCAGCTTAGCATTTTATCTTCTTGGCCATCAGCACTGTTTCTTGGCCACCAGCATGGTAGGCCAAACTCGGCTTTGAGGGCCCACTCTTGAGCATTCAGGTAGCCATCCCAAGGACCAGTCCTTGCCTCAAAGTCTTGGTCACCATTGCTCTGATCAGCCGATCCACAATGTGAGAAGACTTCCTTTGCCCTCTTTTCTTGAGCCCCAGCCACACATTGGCCCTCCTGATCCTGGGTTGTTGGCTTGGAACTTGAACCCTGTCTGGTCCCGCTGAGTTTGAGTTGCTTCCTGGAAACCTCCCTTTTGGGTTATGGACGTGTTCTCCTGGCCCACTTGGACTAATAGCAACCCCTGCAGGGTGTAAAATACCCAGGAACTATTATTAAAATAACATGCAGGAAAAAGGAAAATACCTTTGTATTTTCTGATATGAAGTGGCCTTTTCTGGGGGTTCTTCTCAAGTCCTGTTCCTTACTCTTATAACATTAAATCTTCCAGAGATTTCAGGCTGAGGTTTTTCCAGAGTGTTTTAGTCCAAGATGCTGAGGGTTGAACTTGGGACATTACAGCTGCTGTGCAATATTGGGTGACCTCTTCTTATCCCCCAGATGTTGAGATCTTAAGGCAGAGGTATGAAGACATAAGCCCATAGGCCAAACGTGGCCCTCCAGGGTTCCCCAGAAGGCCCACCCCATCCCTGACTCCGACCCCATCCACTTTCCTTGACCACCAGCCATTGAGTGGTTTCCTGTCTTTTGCATATTCCCTACCCCAAGCCATCCTATAAGGTTGAAATGCCTCCTTTACAGCTTAATTCCTAGCAGGCAGAGCTGAACGTGGCCCGCAGGCACCCTTGTCTTACGGTATCCTCAGCTGGATTCAGATATCAGGGACTGTTGGTCACTCCCATGGCAAATCAGAAATCACCTCTGCTACAGCAGTGGTAGGACATCTGTGGCATTCCAGATGTTGTTGGAGGACGAGACCCAACAGAGGTAGCAGGGGATGGTGGGAGCTGCGGTCCAAGAGCACTCAAAGGGTCCCATGCTCCCCTCCCTGCTCTGAGGAGCTGACGTGCATGACCTGCCTTTGCCTCTCTCGGGCTTGGAAAGCATTGGCAGCAAAGCCGGCCTGCATAGTGGCTCTCCTCTCAACCTTACTAAATGAAGCAAATGGACACTGATTAATTCTTTAATTCCTTTAATCAACCTGAAATTAACACCGCTTGATCTTCCCCATTCCCCACAGTTGGGAAAAATTATGCAATGCTAAAGCCGATGAGAAGAAGCAGACAGCTGCGGATGGGTTTGGAGGGTGGGTGTCGCAGGCGCTCTGGTGATATGGTCGTGGTGGGGGTGGCCGGAGGAGTCACAAAAATGAAAGGAAGCATCCGAGCTTCGAGTTCTGGCAGAAATGGATCCTGTCAGTTCTAGGGAAATTGGGAAAGGTCACACCAACTCTGCTACTCAAATAACCATAGGTTGTGTGCACCACTTACACAGAAGACGCCTGAGGCTCACTCATGGGATACGGGGGACAACACACCAGATTCAGGCAGGGTCATTCCACAACAGATATCAAGAGGGATCGTACGGCGCACTTACACAGAGATGTCCCGACGACTAGAAAAGTCTGATAACAGGACTTCTTCAATAACACTTGCATAAAATCGGCCTCATCATGGCACGAGCAAGCCAAAACACGAAGCATGCAACATGAGGCGGAGCTGTGGAAGTTCCCCCTTTGCTCAGGTCGAGGAGGAGGCGGAGGATCTGCTGTGGCAGGCAGAAACACGCCATGAATTGAGGCATGTGCGCTTTCCCCCTTGAGATAAAGGGAGATCTGCAGTGGCAGCGGCTGTCTCTGTCTGTGACATGCACATCAGAGTTTACCTGGAACCTTTCATAGGCCAGACCTATGCAGGAGTTTGTGGGAGTGAAGCCCTGCTGCGTTCAGTGGGACTTGGTTCCTCCCAAGTCACTGAGCTTGGCATTGCCGCCTTGGTGAAATGGGGATTTGCTGAATTTCAACTGAAGGTAGACAAGCAGGGGCCCCCGGTGCAACCGGCTGAGCAACAGCAAGCAGAGGGCCTCCAGGCACCCACCAACAGAAATCCATGCTTCAGCATCTGGACATTTGCCATAGTGGCTGTTCCAGGGAGCCACAGCCTTTGATGAGACAGAGGAGGCAAAAGAACCAAATGTTTGGTTTGGCCCAAATGTTCTACCAGGCCCAACAGGCAACAGCATTGCCCAGCAATCCTATGCTGTTTGACTGGCAGATACCAAAAATAGGGGCTTTTCAGTGGTAGCCCAAAATCTTTGGAATTCTCTCTCCAGGGAAACACATATTGCAACCTAGTATGTCAATTCCTTACTGGTAGTCATTCAAATAGTTCACACTCTATCCTGGTGCTCTTATGTGTGGGCCTTCCCGGAAGACATAAACTCCGTGCAGAACATACAGCTCCCGAGTATTTCATTCCTAGTCGACTGTGGCCAGATCTGCTGATCTCCTGCCTCTCTCGAAGCGGCTGCCTCCCTTTGCCTCGTGGCAAGTCTGCTGTCGTTGGGGTTCGTCCATGCTGCCAGCACCCCCCAAAAAACACTGCTCCCAAGTCACTGCGTGGGCTGCATGTGCGGTTCAGGATGGGGCAGATCCATAGGCTCCATTGCATCTTTCCAGTCTGGAGTTACTTCAAGGAGCCCAGCTCTTTTGTGGAGTGCGAAATGACCACCAAGCATTTAAGCAGAGGCAGGACAGGGGAGAGAGTGAACGGAGGGAGTGGACAAGAAGAATGAAGGAGGCAGGGCTCCTCCTCCACCCCCCAGCCTCTCTAGCAAGGTTCCCCATCGTCTTCATCACCAGCATCCCCACTGTAACCCCCTGCGAGGCCAGCATAGCCCCCGGCATAGGTCTTCCGGCCCCCTCCAGGAGCCATGGGGCCCGGCAGGCCGGGTGAGAAGTCAAGAGAGTCACTAACGCTGAATATGTATTTATCCCAGAGGAAGCGCTCAAGGTCGGGGGCCAGAGCAGGTGAGCCGGGGCCTCTGGCGCTCGCCATCGATGCGGTATGCTTCTCAAAAATCCGCCGACGGTATTTGAACTCCAGGATGGTTTTCGTGTAGGTGTTGAGGGTCAGAACGGAGGCGGCCATGCAGAGCGTGAAAGAGAGCCAGGCCATGCTGTGGAGGAGAAGAGCAGGGAGGAGAAAAGGAGGAGGGCATGGAGTCACTCGTCCAGGGCCTCATCTGGTCACTCTTCCTCAAGGACTGGTGCCTCTCCCTTCTATCATTCCTCCAGGGGTGTTGCCATGCCATGCCCATGCCCCAAACCTATTTCCTAGGGTCATGAAACTACTCCAAAGAGTGTCCAGGCAGGACAATGATCAAAGAGGACTGCAGCTGGAGGGATGGGTTAACTCTTCTGTTTCCAAATGCCACATGGCCTCCCCCCCCCAGCCCCCCGCTGCCCACTGCATCCCAAATCTTTCCTCCATGGCAATTTAGCCTAGACAAAGAGGTTTTTTCCATTGCTTTTGGATTTCCAAATTTATTAGAATTTATTTTATTCACATTCATTTGGATGAGAAATTAACTAGCTGGTTTTGCCTCCTCTGAAATTTAAATAAATCCCAGTATCTTTCTAAATTTGCACATATACACGTAAGTTAGCATATAAAGATTTACATCCTATCAGTCCTGGGCCCCAAATCTCTTAAGTGCCTAGTAATGGTTCCTGCATTTATCTCTACATTCTAGCAAATTTTTCATCCATCCATCCTTCTTCAGATGTCTATTTATAGGTCTTTTACAGCCCACATTATAAATGAGATGATGGGAGCTGGTCCTAAAAACTTTTCAATCTGTTTATTGCTTTAGAATCTTTCATTTGTTTTATCCTCAACAATAAATTTATGTTAGAAAACTTAAACATTGTAATTTGCCTCAAAGAGATTTGCTGAAACAAACGGCAGAAGTTCTGGTTGTTCTCTAACAAACTCTTCTCATTTGACTTTGCTTATGAAAAACAGATGGATTTAGGGCTTTTAGTGGGGAATAGAAGATGCAAATTAGGAACATCATCTGATATTATGGATGTAAAAATAAGCAGCAGGATCAAAGATTTCATTTTTCAATACTGTCCCTTAAAGTCATATTTTAAAAGTGAAATCTGAAATATTTTAAGCTAATATATTCATATCTGAACAACTTTAAAGAAATCTGATCATTGTGCCAGTTAAACTTGATCAATTAGCCATTGTGCTTGTTATGTATAAGGATAAACCATAATTGCTGTGAATTCTGGCTTATCAGTTACAAAATTTACCAATTCCTGTGCCCGATCTGCTCATGCTGGGGATACAGCTAAACTAATCAGCAAAAGCAAAGTCTTCCAGCTGAATGGGAATGCCTGGCTTGTTACTCTCCTAACAAGCCAGAATCATAACCAAGCATTAATTCTTGGCTTATGATTATTGGCTTGTTTGGAAACAGAAAACCAGAAATCCTAGTTCAAATGTCTAAGCCTTTGCTTGCTGCGGACATTCAAGTAAAAGCAATTTTGGTAGAGTGCATTATCAGCAGGCTGCTTGAAAACAATCCAGATCTAATGCTCTTGGTCAGAATAACTCACTACTCACACATCCCTAATATCTTCCTTCAACATACAATCACTCTCTTCTGCTTTTTCCATTTCTTCTTCCCTTCTTATCCACTTCCTCTCCCCTCTTTGGGCCAAAAAGTCACAAGGCAAGATGGCAAACTCTGAACTGGAAAGGCCCACACTGGGCATCTTCCAGGACTCAGTTACTCACCCAAATGACCATCCATAATACCATGTCTGAGGCCTCCAGTCTTTTGGTCCTAGGTTCACAGCGACCTGGAAGACGGTCATGTACATCATATGGGCCACCATGCCCAATAGCCCTGTTGGAAAGGGGAGATCATTAAGACAGACTTTGACCCATCCCCAGCCCTGGTGCCCTGGCATCCTAGGAAAGCCTCCAGTGACACCAGATCACTTTCTGCTGTCTGAGCTAGATGGGAACAAGCCAGCAGAAAGCAAGTTTGGCAGAACTGTGGGTCCTAGACATCTAGGAGTCTAAAGGGTCATTAGCTTTCTATTTCAGACATTCCAGGCCATCCCAGGAACCAGCTCAGAACACTGGCGGGCAAACATGAAAAAAACCCAAGGCCATACATTCAACAGAATCCATTGGTAAAGTTATTTCCCGAGTGTAGCACATCAAGCTGCAGGAAGACATGATATGAATGCTTTAACAGTTTAATTTAATCCACTTTTATCTCTGATCAAGTTTTCACTCTGCTCTTTCAGAGTGTTGCTGCATTTAGTATTTTGTGTGTGAGAGTTCATCATTTTATTCTGATTTGTTTGTTTGTAAGTCACTTGGGAACCTGCCTGAAGGGTGGAGCAGATGTATATAAAATAAATACCTCTCAGTGCCACAGGGGACGGGGTGGGAGCAAAATCTTCTGCATATGAGACATGTCAGGGAGAAAGGTTCTGCCTAGCAGGTGGCTCTCTCTTGCACAGTTTGCATAAAATTGGCCAGACAGCACAAACTGACACCCAAAAAGCATGTGGTCCTCAAGTAATCTGCACAAATTCGACAAGGACCATGTGCTTTTCAAATGCTGATTCATGCAAACCAGCCCATGTTACACAAATTTCCTTAGATTTTGTGTTGGTTTTTTTTTTTTTTTTTTTTTACGAGCAAATTGCAGCACATCTTAGAAGTCCACAATCTGGCTTGATCAAACCATTGTTAGTTGATGCCAGTACAGAGCTGGTGAACCTAAATCCATAGGGCCAAAGCATGAGCATCCAGTGAATTTTGACCTACACCCTGGTCAGATTCCTCACATATCCTCACCTGAGGCCACAGTCCAGGGTCTAACAGCTCCAAGCACCAGGGCAGCCAGGCAAACCCCACTTGGTGGTGCTACAGTTTGTGAGCTTAAAAAGCCAAGCTAGACTCTCAGTATCCGCAAGGGATGGAGAGATCAGTGAGGCTTGCACTGCCTGAGGTCCTCCAAAGTCCACATCAAAGCTTGGACCACTTGGTTCCTGTTCCCAGCTCCAAGCATCACCCACAATGTGTACAAGTAGGAAAAGTACATGGCTGGGTGCGCTTAGTGTGCATTTCAATGCATCCTTTTCTGCTTTTCCCTAAAGAGTGAAAATGCAGCTTTTGCCGAATGTGCATTTTTAAAGTACTTCTTTTTCTAAATGAGCCGTTTGCAATCAAGCACCGGAAGCTCAAGAAAAGGCAACTTTTGCCCTCAAAACATTCAGGTTCACCTTCCAAGGGGTAAATGGAGCAAGTTCTTGTCTTGAGTGAATGAAAATGGGACCAAAATGTTCATACATCCCTAAGATCCACCTCCCAGATCCAGATGCATGATGGTGTTTCATACAGGCTTGTACACACTAAGAATCAAGGACCAGACTATCTCTTAACATGCACTCCTCAGTTCTAGAAATGGTTTTGATTACCAGAATCGCACCTTTTGCACACAAAGACCCTTCTCCCAAGTTTACTCATTTGAGAAGCCTAACTTAGCAGCAAGGGGAAGTCTTTTAGCTGTTAAATCACTGGGAGACCAAAGCCTCACTGATCTCCTGCAAATCACTGCAATCTAGCAGTGGATTATGTTCTAATTTCCATGGAGCTACAGAAATCAGGGCATGAAATATATGAATAACAGGTATTGTGCCATTCGGGGTTATGTGTGGGTAAATGTTGGGCAGAATGGGCGGGGGAGTGTAGACTGAGGTACCTGAAAGAACGGTGATCACAGCAGCAAAAGCATTGATCTTGAGTCCATCAATGAAGTTGGCGTAGTAGACAGCATCCAAGCACATCAACAAGAATCCAATGGTCAACAGGATGATGTAAAGAAATTCTGAGGCCACAGAGAGCCAAAGCACACCTGGGGAGGGTGAGAAGAGGTGGGGGCACATGGTAAACCACGGATGTATCAGACATAGCTCCCCAGGAGTCTGGAGCTGCCAGGTTTTTAAATCTGCAAAGGTTTAGAGCAAAACCCTATGCGTGTTTCGACAGAAAAAAAAATCCTACATCTCCTAGCATGCCCCAGCCAGCATGACATTTCAAATGTTACGAAACCATTTTTTCCTGCACATGGGATCCATCCTGTCCTCTTGGGAAGAGGTTGCAGGTTGGCAGCAGAGCACCAGTTTTGTATGTGGAAAGTCCTATGTTCAATCCACAGAACCAGTTAAAAAAATTATTTCGCAAAGCTGGCCTGATAATGCCACAGGGCCAGGAGGCGGCACCAGGTGGGAGATGCTGAGAGGCAGGAAGCAAGGATAGTGCTGGAGAGCAGAGTTGTGGGAGATGCGCAACACAGATAGCTCAAATGGCCAGACTGGATAGGATTTCGACCTGGAATGGGAATGGGGAGGGGGCAACACCTTATCCTTCATCTCAGGCAGCAAAACATGTTGGGCTGGACATACAGGGCAGGAAAGGCCTGGCATGGAATGGTAAAGAACTGTTGTGAGCTGGATTACCAAACCAAGGTACAGAATTTATTTTAGCCCAAAAGCTGAACTCCATTTATTTTGTACAAGGTAGCACTCTAGATGCACCAACGATCCGTCTCCATATCAAACCAGTTTTATGTATCCAAACAATTCACGTCTACTTTGCACTGCTGCTTTGCCCTTCCAAATTCTCACCTTTTTCCGACTCTGGGGGCAGCTCAATGAAACTTCGGCACTTCTCCTCTGGCACAGTCGCAACAACAGAACGAGACAATATCAGTTTAGCCAAAGGTGATACAGAACAAGACAAAAGATTCTTTCCAATATCTGCCAAGATTCCAGCCCCACCACACCCCAATGAATGGGAACTTTCCATTCCTCCTGTCTACTCAGCCTAGACTTTATTGAGCAAGAATGCACGATCAGAAGGGGTTGAGCGGAGCAGAGCCAGCAGCATATGGAGCAACCAAATATTCGGGGTGGCAAGCCATGACACATTGGACAACGTGAATAAGAGAAGCAGATGGCGCAATGACCCAAAAGGCACATCCCAGAATCCCTTGCAAAGAAAGCTGGTGGGCCACCATCAAAGGTGTGAAATAGCACCTGTGTGGCTCTGGCTTCTGGGTCGTGTTAACCACACCAGGAAATACCATCACCGTGAGCGGTTCCCTTGCATGATTAAACTCAATCTGAACCTTGTAGCAGGATAACCTTGCACTATCTGGCTCATCAAGTTTGGGATCTCTCTCAGCAGCTGTGGTTCAAAAGGCGTGGGCCCCATCCTCATCTCCAAGCTCACCTGGAGATGAGTGGCAATGCTCCAAAGAGTACCAGGTGGCCGGATCCAGCAGCCATTTCTACTCGTGCATGGCTGGCTGGAAGTATTTGCATCCTGCTCTTCAGCCAAACAGGCTCCCAGAGCGGCTGACGTATAATCAGGAAAAGGAGACTGTCCCTGCCTGCAGGTGTCCAAAAGGAAATGGCACACAAGCAAGAAGAAATGAAGAAGGAAGAGAGAAGCATGCTGCTAGGGACCGTGTGGGAATGGGAAAAAAAGCAGTAGACCCAACAGGCAAAAAACCAAAGAACAGAGAGGCAGGTGGCAGTAATGGAGGCTCCAGTAGCAACCCGGATCTCCAGGATAAAGTGAGAATCAGACCATATTCAGTGATGTGGAGCGTTTTAAGCTCCCAGACTGTTTGAGTCCAACGTGGCCATTCCTAGGTGGTGCTCTTAGGGCGTGCTGGTTACAGGGAATTCAGGGTAAGGCCTTTTGATTGCGGTCCACAGTCTCTCTTTGCCAAGGATTCTGGGATACACCTCTTGGATCACACGCCCCTCTTTTTCAGGTTGTCCACTATTTTCTCATGTGTGTCTGTGAAAAAATAATGAACAACCTTGTCAAAAATTCTTTTAAAGGGAACTGGAGTTTTAACAGCTAGCTATCAAAGCTCCATGCTCCTATAAAAAGGGCAGCGCTCATACTTTCCCAATTTCCCAAACATCTAAGATCTCAGGAAAGGGTGGAAAACTGCCAGCAGAGTCAGATCTCTCCAAATACCCCTAGAGGAACTTTGCGGGTGAAATGATCTACCAGCCGCCCCTTTCAAAAGCAAAGATTTTGCTTGCTGCTGACATTCAAGTAAAAGCAATTTTTTGCTTGCTTTTTGAGAGCTGTCAACAGAAGACAATGTGGAAAACCAAGTCTCAGGAGAATCTAGGCCCATGGTGGATGCTTGCGTCACCTTGTCAGCAGACACCTCCAGAACATGGCCCAGGTAGGACTTGCACAAAGCCACACATGCACACTTACGCAGGTCTGACAAAAATATTTTTTAAAACTCAAAACTTTATGACTTACAATGAAACATTGAAAGGGGAGGTGACAAACCAACGGCAGCCGCTCCAGTGCGCCACTTGGGCACTCTGAAAGGCTATCACTGGCTGGCAAACCGGAGATTACAGAAAGCAAGTCCCCACAAAAGGGAGGAACGGGGGGCGGGTGCAAAACAGGAGTCAGGGCGAGCGGGTCCTGCTGTGGAGTTGCCTGGCTTCTCCACAGGAGGACCAAGGGGAAAGGACCAGAGGGACAATCCACGGTGAGCCCAGTCGCCTCTTGGGTACACCTTGGGTCGTTCCACGAACAACTCACACTGTGTAGCATGTTCACAGGGTGGGATGTCGTGAGGTTCAACCTCTTCCGTTGGCTCCACCATATCAAGGAGAACCACAAGAGGTTCAGGAAGATAGTTTTTAATTCAGACACCTAGAAGAGGCGGGAACAAAGCTTTATCAAAGAACATGCGAATAAGTTTTGAAGAACAGAATGATAAACAGGCTTTACCTTACCACCCCATAAAAGGTTCATAGTAAAACGTTCATAATTTTGTTTGTTGCTAAGCTCAGTGAGTTGTGGGTCAGAAAGGAGAAGGTTCTCTGAAAATCAAGAGAAGGCTTCATGATGAGGGGAGTCCTTCCACCCAAACAGGCAGATCCTGGATCCAACCCTGCGTCTCAGAGGTGGGTTGTGGAAAAATTAAGGTGGTACGGAACAGAGTATCCTGGCAAAGGGCAATAACCTAAACAAGAATATTCCATTTTGTTGCAGGTGGCAGGTTATTACAGATGACATGTTTATTCTCCCTTTCCACCAAAAAGCTCAGGAGAACTTAAAAGTTTCTCTCGACCCTCCCCTGCCCCAGCATTATTCCCACAATAATATGAGGCAGATTAGGCAGAGGGAAAGTCACCCAGCGCAAGAACTAGGGCCTTGGACTGAGAGTGAGCTAGAAAGTTCACGGCCAAGTAGAGATTAGGCCATGGGCCCCCCCAACCCTGGCCAGACATGCTGACCACTGTGCCACCCTGGTGGCCCACATGCCCGTGGGTGCTTTAAAAGAATGAGAGGGCAGATCCCTGCCCCAGGGGACTTACAAAGGACACACAGAGGAAGGAGAGAAACATGGAGGCAAAGAGAAGAAGCTGGGCGGGAGGGATCACGGCACTCATGCCTGGCACCTTTGGATCGCGTCCCCAGCCACACTCACATCCCCTGATCTGTTTCTTCCATTCCTCTTTCATCCGTCTTTATTCCCTCTGAGCAGAGACCGTCCAAACATTAACCATCATCAAGCCACGGCATCTATTGTTCCGTTTAGTACCTCCATGATGTTCCTCACAGGAAAGCCAGAAGCCCGTGTGGAAGTATCGGAAGGCGTACTTGTCTTCGCCCGTCTCCCAGATGTACTGGACCACGTGAGGATCCATTGTCACATTCCCGTACGTGGTCTCGTTGCTGTTGATGGACACACAGTTCCCCTTCTTGACAGCCGAGAGGCAGGGCGGCTTCACCACCTTGTGGGTCCCCTCACACCAATAGCTGGTGCAGAACGCCGACACAGAGAAGCAGAGGGCGAGAGAATTGAGGCCCAACGAGAGCATCGAGCGCGACCTCCGGCTTAGTTTAATCATGGTCCCACTTTTCCAAGCTATGCAGGATAGCTGCTTGACGCCGAACCTGTGTTCACTCCACCCTGCTTTCCAGAAAACAAAGCTTTATTGGATAATTCGGGTGTTTCCTTGTTTTAATGGAAAGGAAACCTCCATTTGCAAAAAAAAGTAAGAAAATACCTCCCTTATGATTATGAATTTCTCTTCCTTATGAATAGGTGGAGGCTTATTGATTCAACGTATCTGCTGAAAGGAATAGCCACATGGAAATTGGATCAGAAATTATACTCAGCCTGGGTATTTTATCTTACTAGGGACTAGTTACTTGAGAATGCAAGGACTGCCATCAGAATCCTTCAAGAAACACCTGGGCCGAAGGGAGGAAGATATTTGGAGGTGCTCTAGGAAACAAAAGCAGTTGAATGAGCGAACTCAAAGAAGTCTAGGAGATCCTGTTCCCTAGACATGCTAGTTTATGATTGAAGGTTTGCAGACAGAGTAATTATTGGCAAGCAAGCTAATTTGTGCTGAATGCTTTAGACAATTATTTAAAACCTCTCTCTCTAAACCTTTCTCCCCTTTCACTACCCTAGTATTAATAATAATAAATAAAAATCCATTCAAGTCTTGTTAAAAAGCAGTTATCTGCCATTTGCCTGGATCATGCAGTCTTTCTAATTGAAAGCTTAACTCCTTTAGGATTTGAAAAGCGTTGCAAGAAGAAAAGAAAAAAAAGTATTTTAGAATCCCTGAAGAGCAGCAGATCATTTCAAAATTCTTGTCCACATTTTTTCAGCTAATAAAGCCTCCTTTTAGCCAGCAGAGGGTGCCCCCAACCTTGTGACTTCTCTCTGCTTCCCCCCAAAAGTAACTGCTGTAGTCTGAATCCTGCAAAAGCCCTCAGAAACCCAACAGTGGGAAATGCTCCCCCAACGGGTAGGAGGTCCCCCTATGAAAAGTGGCTGGCAGCTGCCTTCTCTCACAGTTCACAGGGACTGTGGAGGCAACTCAAAACTTTGCCATGAGGCATTAAGTGATTCTTTTTTTCTCCTAGGAGGAAAAACTTTACACACCCCCACAGTTCTGCTACGTACAACTCCGGCGGGTGACTTGATTGTTTGTAAGGTCACTCCAAGAATAGAGAAAAGGGTAGAGAGCCAAGCTTACAACTTCTGCTTTTCTAAGTGACAACAAGTCCTGCTATGTCAAACATCTCTCACATCACACCCTATTTTTGCCCCCACACTGGAAATCTGAGGGCCAAGCTGTATCTATCCCACAACGGGGGCCTGCAGGTTTCTCTGGATGCTCACACGGCCTACAATGGCCACAGCTTTCCAATTCAGTCTTCTGTCCCCCTCAGTGCTTGTTCCCTGTGCTGGAGAGACAAAACCTGGATGCCTTGCTTCTGTATTCTCTAAACACCATCTACCACATTTTGAAATGTCCCTCGGTTTTAATCATACCAGTTTGCCACTGCTGGCTGGTTTCTGCCCGCACCCCGTTCGGGCTTTCCGATTCTGCTTGAAACGGCCTCGTGTCAAGCCTGCCTGCAGAGGTTCTTCCTCTGCCCCTATGCCAGGCAGCTGTGTGGCTTCATTTGTTCATCCTCCTTTAAGAATTACATCCTAATCCACTTTCCCTCAAGCACGAAAGAATCCAATCTCTTCCCTTCTGCCCTGAATCCATTGCAACTTCCCTTCAAAAATCGCCTCGGGTTCTTTCCCACAAGGTGGTGGATTTTTAAAGAAATATACAGCTTGCCACGTTGAATCTCTTCATCGTTTCAAGATCTGAAAATCAAACAGCTGCCCAGAGAGGAATGACAAAAACCCAAAGTTTGTATAAAACTGGAGAGCAATAGTGCTCAAAATTAAACAAAAGGAAAAAAAGAAAGAGAAAGCCAGGAAGAGAGTGTTACTTTATCAAAGCGAGCCTGTAGTTCTCACTGCCAGGAAAGCAGCAGCCGGTCTGATAAAAATCGGGCAGGGCCTTTGGGTCTGTTGCTTGTAGGAGATGAACGAGCCAAAAGAAATCTAAAATGCCCCCATGAACAAGGGAAGGTGAGGATGTGGCACCAGGGCCCGAGCAGCAGCAGCAGATCAGCCAATTCGGTTCCACATGCCTCAGATCAGATCAGACGCTCACAAACTTTGGTTCTCCTTCCAGAGACGGGTTGCCCAGCAGGTCTGAAATAAGGTTGCTCAAGAAGACATGTCACAGGTTTCGTCCTGAGTCCTTCAGTGGTTCTGTGGGATGGAGACCAACCCCAGAATATGACGTTGAACCCAACACGACAGCTGGTGGGCAGACGGGTGCTGGAGCTCTCTCCCTGTGCACCTGCGGTCCGGGGCAGATGCCCCTTCAGAGGAAACAAGAGAAGATCCTTCGGCAGGGAGGCACAAGGAAAAGTGAGGCTCCCAAGGCTAAACTGTCCTCCCCGGTGTGCAGCGGCTGGGGAATCAAGAGGTTCTCTCCACGCCGGCTGGGCTGAGTGGAGAGGTGGCGTAAGCGGTGTGATAAACGAGCAGGCAAGTCGAGAGCTCCGGCACCCTCCGGTGCCGCACAGTCCCTGGGGACAGAAATCAGATGGAGAAGTGCAGCAGCCGCTGATTAAAAATCCTCTTCATTAGTGCCAAGGGGGTACCAGTGCCAAGTGCTGCGGATTAGCATCTAATAAAGGGGAGGGAAGGGGTGGGAGAGCCGCATCACGGAGTCTTCCCGTTGCAATCGTCGGCTCCTGGGAGAAAATGAAAAATTGAATGCAGAGCTGAGGGAGCAGCTGGGGTCAGAGGCAATGGCGTGGATGGAGGCAGAGAAAGAGAACGAAGGACGGCCGAAGGGGTTGGAAAAGGAAGGCGGATAAACAGCCCAAACGGCAAGAACTAGGTAGACAGCAGGACAAATGGTGTGGCAATGTAGGGATAATGCGAGGTGAATCAATAAGCGGCAGGAGACATGCATGTTAATGGGTAGATTGATGGATGCCCAGATCGATCGTTATTTCAGAAATGAAAGAGTTCCTGAAACCTGGATTTGGAGGCCAAACATTTTTCATTGTGGACAAACGCTTGGATTTACCAAAGTGCTGCTGTATTGATCATGTAAGCAAGTTGCACATTTTCTCAAGTTTCCTCTTTTGCGCATGTGTTTCCCACTATCTTTGCCCCCTCCACACACGAAGACAAACCACTCTGTTTATTTCTATGGAAGCAGTGCAGAGGAAGCATGGATATAGAAGAAGGGAGGGGTGGACAGGCCAACATGGAGAACGAATTTAACTTAGAGGGGTGCAATATAAAAGTATATAGAAAAGGGCACATGAATCCCCGAGCGGACTTAACAGATAGCCGTGCGCGTCTAGAAAGGGAAGAGGATGTTTCTTTCAGTGATACACTTGCTTTTCCCTCTGCGCACACTGTGGTTGGGTATCGTCAGCGCTGTGTGTTCGGCCCCATCTCGCTTGCGTCTCCCATCGGCTGTGAGCCTGGCTCACCCCTGCCCCAAGTTCACAGTCATTATCTTTGGGGCCCATGACTTTTGGGATTAACTTCCAGCTGGCAATAAGGAGATTTTTGTGTGTGTCCTTTTCATTAAGATCAACATGTTAGAAAATCAAACCATTTTCACCAAAGCCCACACAAGATTTAAACAAAGTAATCAGAACAGAGAGAATTTAACTGGAAGGTCTGAAGCCAGAACTCCAGGCTTCTAAAAAAAACGAGGTGAGCTGCAGGCCTGCTAGATTACAGCAGGAAGATTAACGAGGGGCTCCGAGATGCTGTGGGGAGAAGAGTCTAGTCACAGAATTAGACAGTACAGAAATAAGATGACCAGATGCCACCCAGGACAGGGGTAGAAGAGGGGATGTTGCTGAGTGCAGGTTTTTTTACCTCTGGGTACCACAAAAGCAGGGGAAAGCTACAGCTCCAATGTAGGAGCTTGCGATATACGGACACTGATCACTGGTCCATCTCGTTCACTATTGCTAACAGTAGCTCTCCAGCATGTTTGGCAAAAGCCCTTCCCAGCCCCGATTAGAGATGCCATGGACGAACTTGGACGATGCCTGGGACCCCTTGTAGAGAAGAAGGGAGAACTGGAGCCTCATCCCAGGGAATGTGGAGAGCAGAGCGTGTCTCCTCATCCCAGAGGAGAGCTGCCGTATCATCAACACCACAGTCATTGCAACTTCTGAACCTCATTGGAAGGAACCATCTGGTCCAACGGCCTGCTCTTGCAGAAGACCCACTATTAGGGCAACCTTGATGAGCGACCATCCACCCTGGCCTGAAAACCGGGAGCCCAACGACTGCTGACACCGTCTGTTTCACCACCGGGCAGCTTATACCCTCTGCACTTTCTAGGCTTAAGCAAAATCCCCTTTGTTTGGTTGGGTCAGAACCTGCCCTTGGAACTGACATTCCCAACCTCCTGGGGGATGATGGGAGGTGTGCTCCAAGACATCCAGAGAGCACCAAGTTGGGGAAGGCAAACAGAACAAACTGGTAGCATCATCTATGTGTTAGCGCTCACATCACTTTGTTAATCGCCTCTTCTCCAGGCCAAATATACCAGATTCAATATGGATTTTCAGAGATCTCATTCAGGTTCTTTTGGGGACAATCTGCCCTGCAGGCTTGAGCAAGGCAGGAAACAAACAATTTCGGGGGCATGTCCTATCCGATGGAAAAAGCCCATTGAATGACCCACATTCACTGTATTTCACCAGAAGCGGCTTAATCCCTCCCCCCCCGCCCCACTTTGGAAGGTGCAATTAGCCATAGTCATTCTTAAACTATTTAAAGGACGCTGCAGTGGAGAGATGTGTGTGCAAGTGAGATCTTTGCCGTCTCTGGGGTGGTGGAAATGTGGCTGCTTTTAGGAATTCCTCCGACTAGTTTTTTCTTTTTAAAGTTTAAATAGGCACACACTGCCCGTTTGAAAAGAAAACACATTCACAATGCAGAACCCAAAGCTCAGCTCAGCTCAGCTCAGCTCAGCTCAGCTCAGCTCAGCTC